TTCGGGCCCCACCCGGGACCTTTCTGTGTGGAGTTTGCATGTTCTCCCCGTGCTTGCGTGGGTTCTCTCCGGGTACTCCGGCTTCCTCCCACAGTCCAAAGACATGCAGCTTAGGTTGATTGGTGTCTCTAAATTGCCCATAGGAGTGCGTGTGTGTGTGTGCGGTTGTTCGTCTATGTGTTAGCCCTGCAATGGATTGGCAACCTGTCCAGGGTGTACCCCGCCTTCGCCCGATTGCTGGCCGGGATTGGCTCCGTGACCACGGTAGAAAATGAATGAATGAATGAATAACATCTCGGTCTATGATGGCTATATGGAAATACAAGCATACATTGTGACTGAAAATCAACAATCAACAAATGACAAAGAAGGAGGAACCTAATGTTAAAGATTACATTTAATAACAAGGTCTTTCTACTTAAGGCAAAATTACCAGAAGTTAACATACAAGAAATTAGTTTCATGATGCATGTTTGTTTCCAACAAAGACAAACACTACCAGATTTTTGAAAGAGTATGGGGACTTTTTATACAGATCAATGTTACACGTGGCCAAAGAAGCGGAATGACAGCTAGCAGCAGCCTAAACATAGATGTTTATTGCATTAAATCCAACTTTATTACTACTACAACTTAACCAGAAGATGTTACATTTAAGTTAGTGCAGCTTGAGTTATACAGTATAATGCATATTATGTTTGTTCTTATGAGAGCAAAATTAACCTGCTGGATTTTTGAAGGGAGTTTGGGCACTTATCAAAAAACAAAAAAAGCTTATAAAGCAAAACAACATGCATTGTACTTGGTGCTGAAGAGAAGAACCCTGAACAACAACTTTTGACTCCAGAATCTGAAACACTGACCTCAGCGTCGACCTCGTCCATCAATAAACAGTCTGCAGAAACATGATTCTGTTTCATGTAGTTTTCACTACATATTTATTTCAGTTACAATTATGAATTAAGATTTTTACACAAAGTTTGCTTAAGAAATACCTGATGCTTCTTTGACAGCAGTTTACATTTCTATGCCTCTGCATAGGCGACAGCCTGGCTGGAAAAATAATTCTACATGGTGTCAACCTAAATCACAACAAGTCATCTCAGCATCAGTATAGAGAAAACCCCAACAAATCCCCTTGAGCAAGCACTTGGCGACAGTGGAGAGGAAAAACTCCCTTTAGAAGGAAAAAACCTCCCTTTAGAGGAAGAAACCTCCGACAGACCCCGACTCAAGGTGGGCGGCCTTCTGCATCGACCAGTTTGGGTGAGTGGAGAGTTTTCATAATCACCACCTCATGGATAACAAGGCAACTACACTCACTTTGGAGTTTATTTAGAGTCTGAACCGTCTGTC